CTACGCTGCTGGATTTAACAGAAGATGAGGTTCTGGAGCAGCCTGATTCTGTTCCTCACCAGAAATAAAGAATGCAAAAAGTACTTTTGAAGACAATATAGAAGAAAAGACATAATTTTACATAATGTATTATAAAATAAAATAATTATCTGCCAAGCAATAAATCACAGGGCTCCATTAGTTTGAGAAGGCCTGCTAAATATTGTAAAGAGACATGAGCATGAAAACAGAGCAGTTACTTGATATGGGAAGAGTATCTTTGTATTTCGCTGGATGCAGCAAAAAACCCCTAACTTCTTGCCCTCCTTGTTGCATTAATGAAATGTTATCAACTTTTATGTGCCCTGTAACATTTTCAATTAAAATGCAAACTATATTATGTATCCCATTCAAATTGATTTGAATTTTGATCCTAACAGTAAGGGTTTTCTGTAAGATACAACAATAAAAAACTGGAAAAACATTGCATAATTTTCAATCATATAGGGTAACTCTTCAAAAGTTCTCACTTTATTGTAGAATTACAGTCTAAAAAAATACTAAGATGTGTTCTGTATGATTTATGAATGTCTATATAGAGAGACTTCAAAGTTTATACATTTTTAATTGCCTTTCAGGAGACGCAAAACATCTAATAGACTTTCCTCAAAACTTAAAGTTAATGAATAAGGTCACAGTGCTCAAAAAGTCCTTCTGAGTGCATGGTGTTTAGATCAACAAATTATATTCCTCCATTTTTAAGAGAAATTTGCAGAAAATGTTCACTCATTTAATTGAGAGTGAATACATAATTCTTAAGTGTGAGATGAGATGCTAGATTTACACTGAACGTGGTTGCTACTGATGCATCATTGACAGTGCAGCTATAAAAACCCCTGCATCAGTGACACCCTCCTGCAGTTTGTGCTTGCATAGGGCTGTAGTTCTAATAAGTGGATTTTGCTAACGATTCTAGTGAATGCAAAATTTTTACATCATTGACATGTCTCTGCAGGACATTTTTAAACCCTAAGAAAGATAATACTCTTTGTTCTATATTAAAAAAATATTTTTATATAATTTTTTAATAACGTTTATAAAAAAATTATGAAAACTAGGCCAAAGAAGACTGAATTCAGATTCCAAGAAGGGATTTTATATGTTATATATCGTGTGTATACAATTGGAATGCTTTACTAAATATAAAATATGAGATGTTTTAAATTACACAAAAAACTTAAACTGTAATTATATAACTGTCTGTAGTTGTGACTATTCAGATCACAGTATTTTGGAGTGTGTTTAATGTATTAAGAGTAATATAAAAAAATTTTATGGTTATTTTAAGTATATTCGGTATAAATTGAGTAACAGGGTAAAGCATAGGTCTTTCCAAAATAATATAAAAGTCAGATTCAAATTTTTAAAGAAAGCCAATTTTTATCTCAGTTAAAAAGCAACAAAATAATCTTAAAATAGCTGAGAAAAATACTCGTTTGCTCGTTTTCATGCTTTTTCTTTAATATTGAAATTTCAAAGAATTCTTTCCAAAGATTTAAAGCAATTGAGAAGCAGTGGAGGATGAATATATAGAATCTACTTTTACTGGTACTGGGATTTGCAGATGAGGTTGTCTTTCCTCCTAACCCTTAATATGCATGTAGTGATTAGTCAGACTGTACTCATTAAGGGTAGAAAAGGGGGAAATACTGTACCCACAATAGAGGTAAGGGGAGGAACCAGTGGTCCACCCCATCCAAGCTGAAACGTATCCTATATGAAATAGAAATATACAGCCTGTTATTAGTTGTGAATCTGTAATGACAGACACTTGATGCTATGTTTTATAACTCAATTATATGAGAAATCTTTATTTCATATTACTGAAGTTTTGAGTACTCTTGAAAATGCCTCATTGCCACTTTCCTGGTAAGGGGATCTAAGGAATAGCCATTGAATTTTAGAGGAGATTTAAAACATCAAATAGTCTAATTTAGATTTAAAAAGTTATGAAATTGGACTGGAAATTTGAAATACAGTAAATGTTTAAAGCCATCAGCCAGAAATATGCATAAGGCATGCAAAACTGAAAGTGCAAGTGGATTTCAGATTGTTTGCTGCCTTTTACTATTTCTCTAATAAATCAAGCACGGCATGACATGCTTTATTTTGTGAAGTTAGACACAAATGCATGCTTTATTGTCACTTAATTCTCTAACTCAGCAAAGCAAATGTACTCCATATTCTACATTTTCAAGTAGCATACCAATTCAGAACTAGCGCAAAAGCATTATACTGCAAGTACTAAAAAGCTAAACAAAAAGCAATGGGTATATTCAAATCTCAGTTTGCAGCTACTTCTGCTTAGTACATACACTAATTGAGATGAGAATATAAACCCTAAGACAGAAATTTAAATTAAATTAAAGCAATCCTTTACTTTGCCTTCCAGCATCTGGGTGGAGTTAGTTTTGAGATTCAATATAGAAAGTATTCAAATTTCTCAAAATTCAGTATACTAGCAGATATTCTAAATGCCTTTAATATGGCAGAATTCACTTCTGTGCTTAAGGCAAGCTACAGATCACCTGTACCCTATTTTGGTGCAAGTGATTCATATATCTTATACTCACTTTGGAAAGAGAATTATGAAACAGCATAATTATAAAATTAATTGTAACTAAAGAGTATAGCTGAAGATTTCTAAGAATGTAACTTAAAATCTGAAGTGTGTTTCATATTTAGGCATAACGGAATACTCATTAGTTTGTACTGACTGTGTAAAATGCTGCACTCTTCCAATTCACCAGAATGAAAAACTTGTTTAAGAGAAATATTGATTGAATTGAAGTAGTTAAGTACTTGGCAAACTGTTTTACAAAATGATGCACAGCTTCTTATATCCACAGCTTCTTGTGGAATACTTCAGATATTTTACATTTTCAGTGCAAAATTTGCAGTTTTGAGCATGGGTAAACATTAAAATTTAAATACATGCTGAATAAAAACTCTGTTTTATCACAGCTCAGTGTAGGTATGGGCAATATAAGAAAGCCAAGAGGGCTGCTTTATCTTTGCTTTCTGCTGACAGAATAAAGAGTCTCTTTTTATGAATTCTTATTACATGAACTTGGTTTCTGAGAAGACTTTAATTTGACTATAGTCTTATGAGCTGGTCAATTATTTATTATTTGAATCTTTTTACTGTTTGTGAGTCATTCATAAAGTAATGCCAAAACCAGTCAGTGAACTGTTTTGAATACTTGCCAAGTGCTTTGGAAAAAACCCACTATTTCAGAAGTGCAAGTAGTAACTATAAGGCCTCCATATATTTGGCCAGTCAAACCTGCTAAGTGACTGGAATCAGGAACTTCATTGACTGTCATTAATATTGGAGGATAGAGCTGAAGCCTATTTGCTTCTCCAAGCTTCTCTGTGATTCCTAACCAGTAAATTGCTCATTAATTATTCATGTTGTGTAGCTGAAATTCTATCATATGATTGGGTTCCTGGCAAAGTTTCATAGTTATTCAGCAAGCAGTAGGGGAAAGCAGTAAATAGATTTCAAATAACAGGTACCTTAATAACAGCTTCTTTATGCATCAATATCCTAAATCTTGTAAGTGGAAAATTTACTAAGGTGATCATGTAAAGATACAGAAAAAATGAATAAAACATTTAGCAATCAATTTTAACATCGTTTTAGAAATCTTTTTTCTTGCAATATAATTTTAATAGCTGCATTTTTTTTTTCCTTCCTGCATAATATCTGTACTGGTCTCCCAGTCCTCCTGCAGCTGACCAGAACATCATTAAAAACATAAAGCTGACATCAGTTTCCCAACATTTCTCTGCACAAAACCACATACATTTATCTGAATGTTCATGAACAGTATGTACAAAGAAAGACAAAGAGAAAATGGCTAAATCATATGGTTGCATGTTCTGTGGTACTTGACCAGCTCTTACCCTGCTGAATATCACTTCATGAGTTTCATATAAAGAGAAAACTGTTAAAAGTCAATTTGCTGCATGAAGCTGGAATTTATTCATTCAGTAATTGGTTAGCAATGTATTTTCTGTTGCTTTCTGAAGTGGAGATAGGTAGTCTGCTGAATACAATTTCAGGAAAAGAATTTGAAGCCTCAGTTTGACTTCATTAAACTTATATTTTTTCTAAAGATTTTGCATTGTTTCCTCTTATGTTTCCATGATGCAGGAAAAAGCATTCTCTTAAAGCATATTTCATTGACATGCATATAGAGTTAGTTTGTATTCAGTGGCTTTAAGGAACAGAAGGTATAAACAAATGAAAAAATAAGTCAAAATGCCTTCTTGAGTGAGATGAATAGTAAGCAGGGCCTCTAAATTACTCAGAGTAACAAGAAATAACTTTATATACATTGTATTGAATATTGAATAGAGATTAGTTGAAATAAAAGAAGCATTTACCTTACAAAAATAATAACTTCATAGAGGAATCAAATAATTTGATTTGCTTTTTAAGTCAGCCAAACTCAGAAATAGATTTAAACCACTAGTGGATATGAATGTATCTGTAGTATCATTTAATGAAATTCAATGGGGTTAGATTAAAGGGGGTTTATAAAATACAATGAAAAATGAAGAATTTCTAGGAGAAAATACCTTTGTTAACTAATGCTAAATTAGATTCCTGTATACATGTTTTGACATATTTATCAGTAAAGAACTCAATACAATTGTGTTACATTTTATTTATTATTAGGACTCTGTTAAGAGAGTTTGTAGTTGGCGATTTCAAACACTCATATGAAAAACTCCTGAGATTGGCTAGAAAGTAAAGTAACCTTAATGAATATAAGTTCTATGTGATAACTGCACATGGATTTAGGTGAATGGATGAAGCTTTTTGCTTATCTGTTAGTAAAAGATATGCGAGAAAAAGTGCAGCCTTTCTGCATGGACTTGTCATTCCTTGTTGTGCATGCATGTATTCTTTATATGCATGCATAGTTCCAGACACTTTCACGTTGTCTTACCCTCATGCCTTCAAATCGTGACAGAGCTCTTAGAGGTCTCAAAGCTCTTAGTGTCCTAAGGGACTTAATGGCACCAAGTTCAGAGTAACCCAATGCATTTGCTGTTAAGCTAACCAAAGAGACCTATACGAAAACAGGAAAGTAAAAATTATTATATGGCACATTGTACTTTACATACCATAGATGTGAGATATACACTTCGTTAGAAGAGTCTAATTTTGGACCACTTTCTTCAGGAATAGGGAGTCTTTCAAGTTAAAAAAAAAAAAAGAAGAAGAAATAAGCAATATGAAAGGTGAATAGGTAAACAAACAAACAAAAATATCATAAGACAACTAATATCTGGAAACATTAGTACTTCTGAATTTCGTCCTTTGCTACTCATCTGAGGACATTTAAAACCACAAAACTGGAATTATATTAATTTCTCCTTTTTACCAATTTAGGTATTGTACTTATTGTTTCTTTGTTTTACAATACTGTTGGGATCAGTAATTGTGGTTGATAATGTCATTTGATTGCTCACAACTGAAAGGGAAGTGATTGAAGTTTGTGTTGAGCTACATGTGGGTCACAGAACAACATTGCTCCTTTGAAAATTGGTAAAAAGGACTATTTTTGTTATAGGCAGTTATACTGACTACTCCTTTTGCCTGAATGCTGAAATTATGAGCTTTACAAGATGAAATTAACCTGGACTGTGCTGTTTCTAAGACCTTAGAAGAACAGTTCCATAGGTGGAAGAATTTGACAGGCCTTTAAATATTCCATGTCCCTACATTACCTCAGTGCAAAATACCACAATTCTCCACATTTGCTATGGCTCCTGTCCAAAATATTACTTTCTGTTTGTTTCCCATTTCCCCTAAATGTTCCCTCATTATGCTGTTCTAATTCCTTAACTATTTATTGGGCCAAAAATAGCATAATGTTCTCATATACTCTTTCATTATAAAGAACAATGTATCAGGTAAAGAGAATTCTAGGACTGTGCTCATATTTAAAAACAAGCATTATATTTGCAATTTTTAGCTTTTAAAAGTTAATAGCTTTTCTGAACTTTTCAGCAGCTCTAGCAACCACAAAACTTGGTTCTTTTGAAATCTAAGTTTCTTTTCTCCAGCACATTCATCATATTACTGAAAACTTTCAAGTTGTCATAAAGGAAAATTAAAGAAAATACCCACGTGTGTAAATTCAGCATATATCATGAACTAATTCAGACACTTGAATACGTACTATACCTTTACATAATGATGTATTCACATTTTCACATTCACAAGATGGCTGTTAGGGATAGCACAATTTAAATAAGGTCAAATATTAGAGAAAATGAGTTAAAAAAATTAACAGCTGCTTCTGCTTGCGTGCTTGTTCAAGATTTTTTGTTGTAGGTATCACTTAGGTACCCATTTTGAGAATTTCAATACTAAAGAGCAAAGTGTTTTCCAAGAGAGGGTACTTTCGTTTTATGAAATACGGCTATCTGTAGCTGTATATGTGGAGTTGAATCCTCAATATATTTAAACCACAATGTACACAAATAAAAAATGTTGTAAACACCTATTTAAAAACAAGGAAAAAAAAACAAATTGAAGAAAATTAATTATTCTGATGCTCTAATTAGCCCTTGTGTGATGGGAACATATTGAGAAAGTGTTGGATTTTTGGCAATACTTTGGGACAATAAATTCTTGTAATGGTCTCTTTTTGCCTGTTCAGTGTACATTTCTAAGTCATTGAAACCAGGACAAAAGGAATCTTAACTTTAAAACTGAGCTTGTTTTTTGTATATGTTTTACCAGAAATTACTGTCTTGAAAATATAGTGACTGGTTCTGGTTTTGCAGCTCTGTAGAACATAGTATTTGATGTTCACCCAGAGAAATTCATTCCTGCACACTGCAGGTTTTTCCCCCAGGGGGTATACTTAAGATATTCTTAAATGCTCCATAACTGTATCAATGCATCAAGAAATGTTCTCTCCCATTTCACAGCACAGTACCATAGAGCTAGAACTATGAGATACAGCAAAGATTTCAAACATGCCCATGAAGTCTGCAAGCTCAGTAGTACTTAATGGACTTCAATACTAATTAATCCACACTTCCAGTGCTAGAGATATATCTTGCTTTCCTTGTGGAACCCTAATTTTCCATATGCTGAAGTTTGTGGGCATGATGTTCGTTTTCTTGCCAGAGGAGTTTTGATTCAGATGGTTGTCTGGTGGATCAGACACACATCTAAATTCTGGGTTCAACCTAGACCACAGCAGGAGGAATGATGGGTCTGAAGGTAGGAATGAGCATCCCAGGCCAGAATGCAAGGCAGGATGACCTCTTCCAACAGCAGTGTTGGGATAAACTCCCCAGCTGCCTGGGGGCTCCGTGTGAGGTCCTTCTGTCCAGCAGGAGAACTTCCAGTCTCTCTGAACACAGCAAGGCAGTGCCACAAGCATGAAGTGAAAGACAGAGAAACATGGAATTTTTCCAGCTACCTTGCTTTTCAAATTGAAAAGTAAACTAGTTGGCATTAATAAATATTATGGCTGCAGAGAAAGTAAGTCTAAAAATTATCAGAAAATTATAAAAGTGTCACCTAGGAAATGCACTACTTACATCGACAATGAGGAAGTCCAGCCAGCACCAGGCATTAGTAAAATATGTTTGGTAGCCATAGGCCACCCACTTCAGCAGCATTTCCAGAATGAAGATGTAAGTGAAGACCTTGTCAGCGTATTCCAGCATGGTCTTGATAGTTTTACGTTGTTCAATATATATGTCTTCAAAAGCCTGTGAGTATAAACATTCAAAGGCAGGTTATTTCTTATTACTGCACATGCTTCGGAGTTTTAACACAACAAACCAAAAAAGACAACAAAAAAAGGCAATAATATTCAAGAAAAGGATATGTCATTTCTATCTAATGCTTCTTTTTCAGGTAACTCAGAATATATCTGTTTTTTCCCTATGGAAATATATTTTCCAGCTCACAGGAGGAAGAAGAAGATATTACACAGCAACCACTACACTGGTCAGAGATTTTTTAAAATGTATTTATTTATTTATTGCAGATAGTTAATTATTCTTCTCAGATCATATTGCATATTGACAAAGAGAATTGATTCTGCCAAGTGTGCCTGAACTGAATTCTACTGAGATCATTGGCTTGTATGTAGGTAGACCCAAATACAAAATCCAGGACCATAGCTGTAAAATTTTGAGGACAATGACAATACAAGCTACCTTTTTTTTTTTTTTTTAAGTCCTCTGGCTTCCTGAAAATTTAAAGTTCTAAATCTTAAAATAAGTTCTTCCTTTCTTAAAAAAAAAAAAGTCCTAAATCAATTACCTGCTTTATTATTCACATTTTATGAAATACATAAAATTTCTGAGCTCCTTGCAATGTTATTTACACTTTTTGTGTTCTCATTTTTAGGCAATTGAACAAAAAAATAACTTCTGCTTTTCATAAATTCTTCTTCAGTTTTTTTTTCTCCTTTAATTGCTTTCATTTTTTTTTATGGAGACTGACTGATTTTATAAAGCTGAAAAAACTGGAATGATCTGCTAGCTTGCAAAGATTTGGATTTTTTTTTATAGTAACATTAATTTATACTCAGCTTGCTTTTGAACCACTTGACATCTGTCAGTTCAAATGATTAATGTTTGTATATCAGACATCAAGCTAAGATCTGTGTAATTCTGGTTACTTGCATCAGGCACTGTGGAACCTGGCACTCCTGTGTTGGCTAAAACTGGGAAGTCAGCACTTGCCATGTGCTTTGTACAGGTGGGGAGTGCCAGAGGCTGAGCGAGGAGTGCTCCTGGCAGGGAAATGTGCCTGCTCCCTGCCCCAGAGCGTGCAGAGGGCTGAGCAGGCACCTGCCCCTGCCTGCTGCGTTTCCTGGCTGGGATGACAGTGACACTTGTCTGGAGCAGGGCCTTGGGGTGAATTTGGGGTGCAGAGCTGGTAGGCACAAAGAGACCTTTTCACTGTCACAAAGGGCTTTAAAGGGAGAGCAGAGTCTCACATCTCCAGAGGCTCGGGCTAATCCATGGTCTTTGAAACGTTTTCACGAAATAAAGGTTCTTTGCATGACGCACCTTAGGCTCACAAGCACAAGGTACTAACACTGTGCGATCTTGTCTCAAACTTCCTCTAACTAAAGTTATAAAAATGCACGTTTTTCGGATCTCCTTCCACTACTTTTCTCATTTAAATTTCTTGTCACTGAAGATTTTCTCCACTTAGTTGTATGAACCAAAATTCAATGGTGTAAACTTGATCTTTTTTTGTTATTTGGAGGATTTTAAATGACAGGGAAGGTGTCACATGGCATTGCATAAAGGTTGTTTTTCTAATGGTTGTGTCAATATTAGACCAAAAAAAACCAGAATAATTCTTAGAGATGTAGCTGAAACTAGTGATAGGTATTATCATAAACTGCTAACAGTATTAACAGCATTTTAAAATGTTGGCAGCAGTCTAATTATCTTATAATACCTTTTTGAAACACAATTTTGTTTATTATGTAGGAAGTTAAGTAATTTGCCGAAGGGTAATTAAATCTGACAGGGTAGATTCTAGATATACTCTGCATTATCTTACAGCAAATAGTTTGCCTAAGAAACATCACCTCACTGTATTTATACAGGCTCACTCTGATTTAAAAACTCATCTACAATTTCTTTTTTCTTCATCATTATTTAAATTTTTGAGAAAACATATTATCATTAGGGTTTATTTAATTTATTGTTATAGATTTTTATTATGGTTGGCTTCTCTTTATTCTGCCCTTGCATGGTTGTTAGAGCAAATTCATGTTTTTGCAGATGTCCCTTCAGTCTACATGAGTATGAGTCAGTAGAAGCTGAATTGTAAATCTAAATAATAAATCCTTATTCTTGGAAAGGAATTAAAACCCCCACGCAGCTTAGCTTTTTTTGCTGTTGCAGCACACAGCATTTCTAGGACTGCATAAGCCAGCCCTGGCCCTTGCAAGGTGTTTTGAACTGTTTATGCAATTATAATTCCAAACTCTCCACAGTGACAATCCTTTTCCCTGAGCTACATCAGTAAACAGCAGAGAAAGGAGGGAGCACACTCAAATAAGAAAGTTTAGCATGTTCTCTTCTTCACATGTGGTTTCTCTCTGCCTGAGGCATATCACTGTCACTTCCAGCAATGGAGGTAGGCTCTCTCTAATCACTTATGTCTGTTCTTTTTTCCACATGTTGTTAAGAAGAGACTGGTTTTCCTGTTTTTCCCAAGGCCTGAATAAAATTTACTCCCACCATCTGAAGCCGTGGAATTGTGTTAAGTTAAAGGAGTGTTAGAAGAGACAATTTTAAGGAGTTTTCTGAAAACATGGAAACATTCTGTTTATGTTTTACTTACCAGAGCTCCACTACTGAGGAGAATCATAAAGACAATGAAAGTCTCAAACCAGTTGTGTTCAACAATCCTGAAGCAGGTTTTTCTAAGGTTCCACCACTGCTTTCCTCTCCCTTCTTCTATACTTACTTGGCAGCACTTGAACCTTCTTACACAGCCTTTAGAACATTGTATGTAATGAGAGGAGGAAAAAAAGGAGAGATTTTGTTGAGTTAATTTTGGTTATGCATTCTGTTAATGATACAATGCTATCTTACTATGCTATTTAGTAAAAAAACACTAGATTTTCACCTAGATAATCTTCTTTTTCTTCAAAGAAAACAATAGCATTGACACAATTGGAATTTTCAGTTAAATGAACAAGTGAGAAGAATTAATTTCTCATTTATCAAGAAGTGCTCAATACAGTGCACACAAAAAGATGAAAGTCCATCGAACACAAAGCCAAATTACAGAATACAAAATAAGAGTTAAAATATACAAACCCATCCAAATGTCAGGTAGGTTGATGTAGTAAGATATGGGCAAATGATATTAAACCCACCTTCTTTTGTTCAAGATACTCAATTCAGACAATGTTGCATTCATTGCATGAAAAAAAGTCTAAGGCTCTTGTCTGAGTTCTGAGCTTTTCAGTACCAGCTAATTTCTCTAACTTCTGTCCCTAATTTATTTTACACTTTTATGATTTAGCTGCTGATTTTTATGTAGAAAAATATTAGTAATAAATAATGGTATTTTCCATGACAAATCCTAGACTGTTACAGTACTGTCTCTTACAAGTTCAATGTAAATTTCTAAAGAATGATCTCTTATCATGTCCAGAAGTAATCAAACCTGACAATAGCATTTATTCTCCAACGCCTAAATCTAACGTTTGTTTACAGATACCAAAAATGGCATTTGTATCCTTATATTACTGCTTTAAAAAGCATTTTTTTCTCCACCTCCTTCACATGCACACATCCATAAGGTTTCTCCCAAGGAAATGCCATTGGAAAAACAGTTACGATCAGATTGGAGTTTTATTGAATTGTGGGCCATTAGAAGGAAGAATGAAAGATGAAGGAGTCCACCAGGTTAGACTGTTTATTCCCCAGGTGGGACACAAGTCTCTTTCTTCTCCTTTTGCCAATTTGTAGAAGATTCATTTAGCATTTTTCACAAGACCATCTAGGTGCAGTTTTTATTTATCACTAAACAGCTGTTGTAGCAATGTATACTTTATAAAGCACTTAGGTATCTGTGAAGACTATTTTTTAAACTGTGTGTTTACTATCTGTAAATAAGCTCTGAAAGTACAGTAACATACTAAAACAAAACTTTCAATACCATATTTTTCTTATTTTAAAAATTGAGATACATTTCCAATAAAATGTTTTCTTAACTGTTTATCCAACACATAGTATAATTATGGTATCAGTTTCCATGTAATATATTATGGACTAAAAGTCCTATTGCTAATAATCAGAGCTTAAACACTAATAAAAGGGCAATGTGATTCATAAATCTTAATACTTAACTTCCATAGAAAATGGTTCTGAATTCTATTAATAATTATTACTAGTGTTTTTCTTCCAAATACCTTCTGTGAAGCAGGCCTCTGGCTCCTGGGCTTCTTCAGGTTCAGCTTCTGGTTGTTCTTCTGCAGGAAGTCCAATATCAACTGTGCTGCCTTCAGATGAACTAGATGAATTTAACTTCTGTAAAAAAAAAAAAAAGAAGCATCACAAATGAACAGTAAATAATTTAAAGGCAAATATTATTTGGTTCTGGAATAAGCAAATTAGACAATGTTTTTGAATGTTCTAGAGTTCAACGTAAGTAAGTTGTTGATAAACATCTGAGAAATTTATACAGTCTGGTTTTCCTTCTGTACTGTATGAATCTATTAAATAGAAGGTGTATCAGTAACAGATCAGACTTCAAATGAAATTGTGCTTTAAACTGAAAAATGTGGGTAATGATAAATCTGAGAAGATTTATGACCACAACAAGCCATAAGTCGTAATGATCTCTTGACCTACATAGAAATAATGAAGCTTAAAAAATATACAGGAATTTGTAGTGTCTACATAAAATCAGGTGAGAGGCTAAAAATAACTACATAAATGAGGTGGGAGCTCAGAGGAATGAGGAAAAAAAGCAGAGAAGGCCATACTTCAGGAGTTAGTAAATCCAAATTAAAATTGTTGAAAGTCTAGCTCAAAGTGAGGCAGAATCTGCATACAATAAGGCTGAGGTAGTTTAAGCCTGTAAAAAAATCAGATTGTGTTTTATCAACAAATTTTCAACAACATGATGAGCATAAAGAGACTGAGGCATAGGTTGGAAACCAAATTAAAAAAAAAAAAGAAAAAAGAAAATGAATGCACTTAAGCTAATTCTCATCCTAAAAATCCAAAAACTTGTAAGACGTAATGTACAGCTGGAATCTGGTTGCAATCTATGTCTTTGGTATTGTGGCTAAAACTTGGGCAAAATTGTGAAGGCAATATATTTAAATATGTATGGCTAAACAAAATAAGGAAACAACAGCAATATAGATCACTGAGTCTAATTATAAATTCAGCACTGCCAAGACTACTACTAAACCATGTCCCCAGGTGCCACATCTTTTAAATACCTTCAGGTATGACAATTCAACCACTTCCTTGGGCAGCCTATTCCAGTGCTTGACAATCCTCTCAGGGGAGACATTTTCCCCAATATCCAATCTAAACCTCCCCTAGTGCAACTTGAGGCCATTTTCTCATCCTGTCTCTTCTTGCTTGGGAAAGAGCCTGACCCCCACCTCGCTACAGCCTCCTCCTGGGTTCATCAGTGCCAGGTGGCAGCAGGCCTTTTGGTACTGAGGACAAAAAACCCCAAACACTAACAATAAAACTCTTATTAAAGCAGTGGCAGCAATAAGTCAGAAGTGCCATGCTTCAATGGGATAAAAGGTAACCCTCTTCCTACAGGTAGCAGCACATCGGCAGGCAACTTTCCTAAGCTTTCCTAAACTGTGTCTAAAGATGATCAATTCTCCCTTGGTCAGTCAGACCAGCTGGTGTCTCTCTGTTTGACTGTCAGCTCTGTGATGGGTTGGAAGACTGGACTGGATAGCATGAAGGTAGTTGTGGAGAGTAGATGATATGTCATTGTTTTCTTCTAAAGGATCTTTGTTTAAATGTTTTATTTTGAAATTCTTCATGCTGCAGGTGGTTCATAATGTGCTGAAAGAAATTTTAAGAATCTTTATTGTAGCGGTGGTTCATAAGCATAAGTCAAATGAATTATAGACATTTTAGCTAATATTTAACAGGAAAATAATTATTAATGCTGCAGATATTAATTAGGAAGTGGGAACAAGAATGTCTCTGAAATAAGTTGCTGTGGGGAGAGGCTGTTTTGTACAGGTCTTCTTTCTTGGAGGAGGATCCAAAAATTTCACTTAGCTAAACACTGAGTTTTTGCTGAGAGCACCAGAGTGCTTTTATACACACTGAAAGGATAGTAGTAAGGAGTTCAGCTACCCTAAAATTTGGTGTCTGAAGCACTGGTAGCAATACAACAGGTGGACAGAAGGGGGAAGATGAGCTATCCTGTAAAAAAAAAAAATGCATTGCAACGAAAATGGGAACTAGCTGGTTACGACTGAGGTTTCTCAAGTGAGAAAATTAATGTTGTTAAGTGTCTGGAAAGGCAATTTTCTAATTTGTCTAAAACGGCAACAAAGTAAGTCATTGAGGGTGTAGTTGTTTTGCAAATTCTGTCATCCAATCAATTTAAATTATTTTGCTAAAATAGCCACATACAAAAAGTTATGTAATGGAACAGTTATAGCTTTAATATGCTTTTAAAAATTACAGTTCTCAAAAAGGCTTTATATCAATAGCCTGCTTTAGCAGTCCTTTAGCAACAGTTGATGTTTTCATCTGTTGGTACTTTTCAGTTTTAACAGCCAAGTGAATTTGAAGTGTTTGGGAGAGTCTATGGTTAAGACTTCTTTTTATGGGAATGTAGGTGTAGAAGAGCTGACAGTTTCAAAATCTAAAAGAATTCATATGTCCAAAGGAATGTCTAAAGGAGTTACATAAACTATTTATACATTTTCTGGTTTCTATATGCTTTTTCAAGAGGCAGAGAGAAGATGTATCACACTCCTCATGGGACCCTTTTCACAGAAGGCAAACAAAAATTTCTGGTGGAATAACACTGCACCTAAGACATTGTCCCCTACAAGCTGTTATAACTACCATGTGGACCACGCATAGTTTTTATGGATTGGCCATTACATGGCCTCTTATCCCCTCGAGGAGGATATAATTTTTTAACTCTTTTTCACATTTCTTTTCATCAAGAATTAAGTCCTCCTTTATACACTCATTTATGCCTATCTACAAAGAAATGTCAAAATAAATGATTAATAATTGAATACACTGGCTTATGAGAAGTAAAACAAAAAAACCTAAACAATCAAACAAAATCCCACATAACAAAGACCATCAAAAGATCAGAGAGAAATGCTAAAAATATCTAAATACCTCTTTGCTTTCTTCCAGGTCTGATTCACTACTAAATTCTTCTGTGTTTAGATTTTCAAAGTCGGATTCACCCACAGCAATGGGCACTGTCACAGTGAGGCTTGGGTTGTTTATGAATGACATGTAATCACTCTCATCAATTATGTATTTTTCCACACTGCTGCCTGTGCCTATACCACTGGTGGTTCCATTTGCATCTTTAATATAGTCATGGTCCTTGCTTAGTTCCACGGTTGTATGGTTAGAAATACAGCTATTTTTGTTGTTTAAATCTTCAAGTGGCTTGATTTCATCTAAAGCTTTCTGTTTTTTAACAAAAGCTTTTTGGATGAATTCACGTGCTTTTCTCTTCACATAATCTATGCCTTTCTGCATTCTTGCCACAGCAATCTGGAGATTGTTCATTTCATTATCATCATCTGTCACAGCGAGGTTGTCTGCACTAAATGAGCTCAAGAGCAAGGCCAAAAATAGGTTTAGTACCTGCAGAAAGATTTAGAAAATACGTTCTAGACTTTATTTTAAAAATAACATTTATTTTATTTAAAAATATCTATTATTGATATCAAAGACTGAAATCCCAGTAATTCACCATAACCAAAAAAGTACCCTCAAAATTTTTCTCTTTTCCACAAAAACCAAGTTTATTTCCCTTAGCTTAGGTCCTGCTCACCATTCAAAAATATTTGTACAACTGACAAATATCTGTAAATGTGCCTTTAAATCCCCACAGTATGTAAATAGTTTGGTGTCAAAGTTTATAATTTAAAAATGGAGCTATCAGATTTGCTGTTCAGCATCATTAAAAAGTTTAACTTATCCCATCACACAACAGAAATTAGATTATTCAGGTGACTAATCATATGGTATAAATAATAAAAAAATCCACAGCAAATGGTTTGTAAAGAGCCCATAAACTAAAAGTATTTGGAGCACCAAATATTTTCAAAGGGCCAAAAGAGAAATTAGTCACATTCTTAAGTACCCACTCTGACATTCTTAGGATTTTGACATGGCAGAATATTTTGTTCTCTATCCAAAAAAGCTCTTAAGCTTAACTTTAAACATTTCTTGAAAACACCTGCTTAAGTGCTTTGTTGAAACAGAGCCAGAGCACTTAGTTCACTTCAGGACTGAGACCGCTCTCTTGCCAAATAATTTTTTGTTAACACTTTGATTACTTACCACTAGGTTTCCAATCACCATGACCATCATGAAGACTGTAAGGCACATGGCTTGGCCAGCAACCTCCATGCAGTCCCACATGGTTTCTATCCATTCTCCACACAGCACTCGGAATACAATCAGGAAAGAGTGGAAAAAGTCGTGCATGTGCCAGCGAGGGAGCACACAGTCACTTGCAATTTTGCAGACACATTCCTTGTAGTTTTTCCCAAAGAGCTGCATCCCAACCACAGCGAAAATGAACACGATGATGGCCAGCACCAGGGTCAGATTCCCCAGAGCTCCCACGGAATTACCAATGATTTTTATCAACATATTTAGTGTTGGCCAAGATTTTGCCAATTTGAAAACTCGTAACTGGAAGGAAAGAAAAATATTGTTAGGAGAACCAGAAAGATACAAGGATATTTTAAAGTTAATTTGTGGAAGGATATTGCTGCAAAATATGCCTTTAGTTGGATTGTCCAGAGGGTATCATCTTGTCTAAAAGCATGAAGATGGAAGTTTGCTTCAAGAAAAATTTGTAAAATTGAAATTTGATATTCTCAAAGCATAGCTTTTACTGAAGGCCAAAGAAGCTACTGATTTGAACTTAAAATCTAGGGTTCATCTTTAAAATAATCTGGACAACTTTTCAACTAGTGTTTGTAGAGATTTGTTCCTGTGATGCCAATCGGAGCATAATACCTGTAAAGAGTCAATTTATTTCTGCAGAGTGGGATGTTTAAAGTGTGTATATACAATGGATACATTGGAAATAGGCCCAGGGTACCCACTGCTATCTGTTTGGATCTCTGTCAATTCCCACTGAAGACTGTAAGACACCACAATTAGTAAGGATTTGTGCTAATGAAACCGTCCTCAGGATCGGTATCATGGCAAACATCAAGCAAATTTTTAAGACAAAAATAAAATTATTTTAATGAAGCCACATTGAAAAATCAGTACAATTCAAGTATATTTACCAATCTGAATGACCGAAGAACAGATAGTCCTTCCACATCCGCAAGACCAAGTTCAACCAAGCTAAGGGTTACAATAAAGCCATCAAAAATATTCCAGCCTTCCTGGAAATAATAGTAAGGATCCATTGCAATTATCTTGAGAAACATTTCTGCTGTGAAGATTCCAGTGAAGACCTGAGTTCAAAGGGCAGTTTGTTATTTCAAGGTGAAAGATAATACTCCAGATCTAGTTTAATTTAAGCCATGTCTTATCCAAAAGCAATATTTAAAAATAGTTACATTTACTGTAGTGATTTATCATGCCCACCTTCCCTTAACAAGTGTCAGAAAACCAGGTAATTTTTCTATTAATTAAATGTATTACATAAACTTCTGGTTTATGACATTTAAAGTCCTATTTCAACTTTCTAAGGATGTGGACTTTCTCGCGTGCTGTACAAACAATGTCCCAAATTTGATTTTCAGGACACAAACCAGAATGCTTTCCAAGAAATTATATGGTATAGCTCTTTCTTGGTATACAAATTACAAATTAGGCCAAATCTAAGACTACAGGGGGGCAGCTTCTTGCCTGCTATGACCTGCTTATAATTCAGTTTAACAGAGCTGTGATTATTTATGCCAGATTAATAAATGGTGTATTATAATATACCTTAGTTGATACAGCAACTGAGATACGTTATGATGTGCTGAGATATAACAATTTCCTGAAGCTGAGTAACTTCTACCTGGGTGTGCCCAGAAGCAGCAGCAAAGTTGGTTGGCTCAAACACTTCGATGCCAGGAATAAATAACAGAGTATTTAAGAATGCATTTTAAACAAAGTGCTGCTGGTAGTGGTTTCTCGTTATGAGTTTCTATGCTGAATGAAGTAGGAATTATATTTAAGACCCACCAAAGTAATAACCCTGAGTAGCTTTGAGAGAAGTCTTGGGAGAATTTGTTCCAGGATAGGAAGGTACTAAAGTCACTGTTAAAAACTGCTTGAGCCCTGCTCTGACAGGTTTTCTGGTTTTGGTTTGGGTTTTTTTTTTCTGGTTTTGATAACCCATTTTTCAGCAAGCTGAAAAGAAAATAGGACAGCTAAAGAGAATAATCTAAGTGGGATAATCAGGAGAAAGGAAAGAAGTCTGACTTGCTCTGCCTAGGAACACCAATACTCAAGATAGATTATTAGAGTCTTTAAATACACTCTAGATACAAACACCAGAGAGGGAAAGGTTACCAATTTTTAAGATGCAGGATTGGAATCCCTGAAAAAGACTTAGCATTGAAATGCTGACAGGTTCCTAACAATCAGAACAGCACAAGAAGCTTTAAAGTGGAGCTACTGGAGCAGGAAACCTCCGAGATCCTCTCTATTGCAGAAGGGGTTTATGCCAGGGAGCCTAAAACTGGAAGAATGTGGTGCTTATAGACAGGTTCTCTCACACTCCCTATGTAGTCAGAGATACACCATGATTTATATAGAATTTTCTTGGTTGGAAAACAAACGTATAAAATGCTACAATACAAGATTTTAGACTTTATTAGGAAACACAGGTTAAGCATTTCCCTTATATTATTTGAAAATCAGCTGTACAATTTTCTATTCATTCTCCCCCCTCAATTCTATAGTTATTTACATGATCTATTTGTTCCTCATTACAAAACAAGGATTATTAAAAAATCACATTATGAGAAATTAATTCTTAAGGAAGGAGATAAAGTAGGACTGTAGCTGCAGATACTTCTATGTGATCAAACCTGTCAGTTCAAAAGCAGGAGAGCTACAAAAAGTTAACTCATGAAATCTTTAATAATTTATATTTTTGAAGCAGAGAGAAAGGGAGAAAATACAGCTGACAAGACAAGGAAAATATATCTTACTAATTTTCAGAGGATAAAAACAATAAAAAATAGGAGAGGAAAAAGTACGGTGGGATATTTTTTTACATAAAGCATAGAAAGAAAATCCACTTATCCACATAAGAAGAATTTGCACAAGAAAATTCTAGAATTGCTTTTAAAGGGATCTTTTTACTATTGTAAGTTTCTGTTCAGGAAACAGCAATTAAAAACACATTCATAAATTAAAGATTTGTGTTGTATTGATTGAGAAATTAACACTGCATTTATTTGCAGTGTCTGTTTCATGGAAACAATGAATTTCCTGGTTTAGCAGTTACACAAATCAAACTCTGCTTAAGATGGACTTTACTTAATGTAGCATTGGAGCCAATTTTTAAATTTTTAATTCAATTTTGCAGAACACAGCAGTATATTGATTTTACAGTATCCTAAGCTACATGAGTCAGGGTTGACAGTCAAATTTCAAAAAATGTTCTGATACTCATATCTGAAGGCAAATAAATATCCAAAAAGCTGTTAAAACCTTTTCTTTCTGTTATTACAGGCATATTTCCTTCCAAATAATGAATGTAAAGCCCCAACAAACTTACCAGATTTCCAACTGAAAGTACATTATTGAATTCGTCGGTCATTGGATAATGTTCCATAGCCATAAAGAGTGTATTTAAAACAATGCAAATTGTAATAGCCAGGTCAACAAATGGGTCCATTACCACTAAGTTGACAATATGCTTAACTTTTAACCAATGTGGACTGCAGTCCCAGATCAAGAAAATATTTGCAAATTTATACCAACATGGTGGGCATTTCTGTCTCGATTCTTCAAGTTCTGTGGGGAAAAGAAAGTTTATATATGTAACTATGTGATTTCTCTAACATTCCTCATTCCAATATGAATTGGAATGAGGAATGTTAGAGAAGAATGAAAACAGTGAAGTTTTCAGTCTCTAGTGTCACTGATTAACTTCCTTTAAGCCCCCATTCCACAGGGCTTTTAAGGAAAGCCTTTAAAAATTGCTATTGAATATATTTGCTATGTTCAAAGCTTATCTGTCAAGCACAACTTCTTTGTATTACAATCACTATGCCAATAAGCATCAATTTATGAATCAATTTGTATTATGCATTTAATTTTTCCTTGATTACACTTCAGCTTGCTTCTCCCACCTACTGTTCAAGTATGTAAATATTTTTATTCTGAAATTTGTAGCATTTAAATGAAAATGTTCATTCTGAATTCAAGAAAAAAACAATTTTGAACACCTAGAATAGCTTTACAGAACAATTTAATAAATATAACTGCAAAAATGCACATATATTTTTAAAATAATTCCATATGTTTGAAAAATGTTCAGTGGCTTTTTTGTGTCCAATAATACATTTTAAATTACTGTGCATAAGCATCCACTCAGTTATGACCATGCACATGAGTTAGATGGCGACAAAACAATGAGATAGAAATGCTTCCTTATGTAATAACTTTAATGCTTAGTTATGTAATAACCTTAATAAATAAAGAGCTTTGAATTTACTGATAAATATATGTCAGTTTGTTGGATGTTATCTGTACTTAATCTATTTTAAATCTGTTTTCAAGTTTCAGCTCAAACTTTCAGAAGTCCGCAGGAAAAACAGGATTAAATATTAAGCTGTGCACAGCACACACCTTCCACAGTGTTTGTGAGGATGCTAGCAATACTCATGGCTCTTTCCCTTAAAGCTGGATCCTCCAGGAAGTCCATAGAAACGTGAAAAGAACCTGATATTCTCTTCCTCATTTCTGGTTCTGTCGTGGTGCCCTATACAGAGAACGACAGTAGGTGAGACCACGTTGAAGATACAATCAGATAAGCAAATACTACATGAGCCTGTTAGTAGTGTCTTAGCTTGGACTCGTGCTCCGTGCACTTCATGTTTTATCGTGTCGGACTTTTATTACTTTTTAGTACCTTTTAAATAATTTTAGAATTCCATTAGGTCACAGGTCAAGATTGACAGAGAGTTTATTTACTCAATTTTTGCATTTTTTTCTTTAAGATATGAAAGGTCTTTAAACATTTAAACAAATTTAAACAAATCGAAAAGTGTTGAGTTCAAAATACTGCACAAAATTTTGCAAACTGTAATTTTTTTCCTTGCTCCTGTTGACAGCATATTCCACGGTTTGCAACATTATAGTATTTTCTCCTAATCAAACTGTAGCAAGTAAGAAAAGTCTGACTTCCTCATGCTTCCTCATGCTAGTATTTTTTAGCAGTCTGAGTAGACAAATTTGAACTAAGCAAGAAATTTTTTTGAGACATTTTCTCTTACCTTTGTATGGTAAGAGAATGGCAGCAATATGTGCTGCCAATATGTTCACACAGACATTTGCATTTTTATAACTATGTATTGAACTTTGATCTTTCAATGAACTATTTGTTGTCTATCCTACAATACTCCACCAGAAATGGATGGAAAATACATAAGAATGAGAAATAAATTGTAATAAGGAATTGACAACTTCCTTACATTTTTAACCAGGCAGATAAGGAAGAGTGATATCAAAATTAACTAATAATGCTAATTTTGATAGTGGTAATACATCATCATATTTATTGCAGTTATATAACATTTTTGTATAATATTTTCCATTGTACGTCAACTATGATAGCTAGATGGACCTTTAGATCAGCTAAAGAAAAGCATGGCACACTAATACAGTGAAGCATAGCATTTTTATGAATGTGTAGGTTATTATTCTATTGCTTGGTAACTGTGACTTGCATTTGTTAGTTATGTGAATCTTTGTAAGTAAATGCTTAGCTTGCAAACCTATCTTAGCTGTTTTATTTACTAAAGAGTTAACAAGATGCAAGAGCATTCATAGCTTGACCAACCAGGAAGCATTGCCAAGGGTTCCATTCTGTAGAAAACACTGGCTGGTGCAGTAAGAAAATGCCACCATGCCTGAGCTATTTAAAACTTTCTTACATTGTCATCAGTAGCTGGTTTATCTATTATCACCTCTGGCAGAAGCTGTCCAACAGGCGATGTAGGAACAGATGGTCCACCAACCAGGGAAACCACCCCATTGCAATCCACGGTGCTGTGCATCTTCCCATTCACCGGAAACACTGCCAGCATCCTGGATGACCTACTGGCCTGGCTGATGTTGCTGTTGCGCCGTTCTCCGTGCCTGCGCGGCACAAAGAGAGAATCTCTTCTGCTGTCATTGTCTTCAAAAGTGCTGTGTTCATCATCAGCAAAGTCATTTTCTGATCCTACGTCCTTTGCTCGACCTCTGAAGCTGAAAAGACTTGTTCTGCTGTTGCGCCTTGGGGAAAACAGGGAGCCACGAATGCTCAGCAAAGACTGCAGGTAAATAAAATAGTGATTATTAGCTGAAATCCTCAAACTTAGCGCTGTTATTAATTAGCATTGGTTTTCTTTCTTTCTTAAATTAGAATAACCATATTACACAGAAGATACATGCTGCTGTGAAATTTTTGCATGTATTTCATTAGAGATATATCTTGCAGATAGAAGTATCACTGTTCATGGATTCTTAAGACAAAACCAGTACTGAACACTCCTTTGTCAGCTGAAGCTGCCAAATAGATGAGTTGCATAATTCCCACCAAGAAAAAAAAAGAAGTCCCTACATGCGCTTTGTTTCATGTATGAAGGATCTTGCCCATAGTGAACAAACATCATTGTTTGTTCATTGCTCAAACATTGGCTCAAACATCATTGAAACAAGAGGAAAATGTGAGGCTATCATAGCAGAAAATTACTGTAGCATTTTAACAAGTAATATATAATCATGCTGAAAGGAACCCTACATAATCAATCAGAGAATATTTTAATATGATTTCTAAATAATCCCATTAAAAGAACAGAGATATGAGGTTTCATTTAATTCTGAGGGTTTTTTTTTACAAAGCAATCTAGCAGCTAGAATACTTCCTCTCAAGCCCTAGCAACACTAATTAAGGTAATAAAAGTATCAGTATTTCATTTGTTTATGCAGTAGCATCATATTACTGTACTTCAGGAAGACTAAAGTAGTTTTGCAACAGCCTATGATGCTTTAAATATATGCTTTTACTAAAAAAAACTATAGGCAATACCTGATGTGGAGAAGAATACTTCTTTTCGTATGTCAGTCTGTTGCCTTCAATAGACAATCGGAAACCTTTCCTTCTGATGCTGTCTTCTGATTCAGACTTGTGAAATTCATCTTCATCTTTTTCCTCTCCTCCAGACTGTTCTTTCTGTTTCCTTTTTTTCCTTCTATTTCTCCTCTCTTTTGCACTCTTTGAGCTCAATTTTGATGCGTCTGAGGAGCTTTCTGAGAGCCCTCCTGCTTCTCCTGCAGCACTGGGCTCCCTGGACTCTGCAGATGCTGTTACTGCTGCTGCTGCCACCGCTGCTGCCTGCCATGATGCAGAAGGAATTGAGCAAATCATGACCTAACATTTTCCTTTCTTTAATTTACTTATACATGCTTTCTACTCCATAAGTCCCAATTCTTAACACTTTCTATAGGGTATCCTCTCACTAGGTTTTTCTTTTAATTATTATTAATCAGTTGACTCAAGATATGTGTTGGTCATAGACTTCTCTCATCCTTCATGAGTAAGTTTTAAATGCAGAAATCTACCAGACTGCACTAATGGCACTAGACTAGAAAAACATAGTGAATAACCTATACCAAGTTTTGAATATACTCTTCTTCGGTGCAGAATAGAAAACCTCTGAGCTAGTTCAGTCATTGAAAGACCAACAGGGTGCTTTATATTTCCAATTTCAGACAGCAGAAGTTGACTATCTCTAGTAAACTCACTTCCTTACAGTCCTGCATTACTACACCATAAATGATACCTGTGCTGCTTCTTGTTGCTTCTTCAGCTGTTCCAGCATCTGTTGAAATTCTGCCTCCTTCTGCTCTGCTTCTTCCATTGTTGCTTGGTTCTGTTCTTCGTAGGCCATGGCAACCACAGCCAGGATCAGGTTTATCAGATAGAAAGAGCCCAGAAAAATCACCAGAACAAAAAATATCATGTATGTCTTCCCAGCAGCACGAAGAGTCTGGAAATAAGAATACATTTATAAGCAAATATATGTTAACAGTTCTGGTTTTCATACTGTTAAAATTCAGATAAGAAAATAGACTCTAGTACTTTTGCATCACTGATACAAACATATTTGGTCTATGTTTCCTTAAAAATTTCTCACCAATTGATAAAGGTTTTCCCAGAAGTCCTGAGTCATTAGCCGAAACAGGGACAAAAAAGCCCAGCTGAAGGTGTCAAAACTTGTGTAGCCATAGTTGGGATTTCTGCCAGCTTTCACACAAGTATATCCTTCTGGGCACTGCCTACAAAGACAAACTGGACATTACCTATTTAGTAATTTTAATATTATCAGCTGGATGTCAGTATATTCATATGTGCAGCCAGAACTGCAAAATAACACGTTTTGCCAGGTTTCATCATCAGGTATTGCTCTTCCTTTACTTATCAGCCAGGCAGGAGCTATACTGATACTAAATTACTCATTCATCATGCAAACACTTGGTTTACCAGTCCACTGAGCTCTGATCAAGAATGCAGATCTAAAGCCCAGTATAAAAGCCTTTCTTATGTGAAAGGAAGTGGCCACTCAAAATAAGTCCCACGCAAATTGCGTATCTATGGAATGTGGATCTAATTTATACACAGTGCAATAATATGATGAAATAGTTCTTACCCAGCATCAGAGCTATTTCCACAAAGCAGAGCATCGTTTTGCCCTTCCAGAAAATAAAAATGACCTGTTTCAAAAAGAATTTTAAAAATTATAAAATTCAAAACATAGCCATTATCTCTAAAAGTTTTAAGGTGATTTCTGATCCAATTTTAAACAAACAGTGCTATTTTCACAGGACAACAGCTATAGAGTAAATGACATTATGAATTTCATTAGGCACTATTGCTCACAGCACTCAATGTTAAAATGCCAAAATTTACTAAGAATTCTGTCAAGTGCTTCTCCTTTCTGTGGATTCTCCCTTCTGTCTGATCACTGAACTAAACAATACTTTGTGAAATAACGTACAGTTGTTTATTAGAATAATTACAATTGATCTGAAAAAATTATCCCATAATTTCTTCAAAACTTTCTGATCAGTATTGCCAGGGGTTTCAGTATGTTGCTTATAAGCACTTATCACAGTTATCTAATATGCAAGCCCTGCAAAAACCCACCCAGCTGCCAGTGGCTCTGATGACCATGGTTGTGCACACACTGCAATTGTAGCTCACTGACTGCATGAAGGCCCTGACATACACCTAAATTCAACTCAGACATAATTACTGCAGCAGTCACAGCTTCTTAAGATTTTTAAGAGTACATGACAAAATTTTTGAACACCTTAGTCAAATAAATTGGTTAAGTTCCACCAAATCACCCTGTAACCAATCATACCAATGTCTATACAGTAATGCCGTAGTTAAAGGATACTTTAGATGGTTTAAATAACAAAGACATTGACCTATCTCTTCTTACAAGAACAAAGAGATGAGCAAAACTTTGTGCTTATTAAGATTCATCTTGACTGTATCCTTGAGAAGTGTTTTTCTTTTCTGCTTCAAAGCAGATACCTACAGTCTTGATGGCTGAAGTCTTGATTTTTGGAAGAATTATCACAGGACAAGCTTCTCCTGTAATAACCATCTCGCATTTGGTCACAGGCGTAAGGATGTTTTTTATACAGGGTCAGACCATGTGTAACATTTCTGATGGAATCCAAAAGTATTGTCTCAGGTTGTCTGTAAGGACAGGGCAGGGACAATGGCAATGCTCCTCTGAGCACCCCCCTAGCTCCAACACTTCTGAACCATAGCAGCTTGAGGATCAAGGTGGTACCTTTTTTGCTCCCTGAGACCATTTAAGCCCCACGTTGGAGTTCTTTTCCATTTAACTGTCCTGTTAGATTCCCTTAAAATTATCTCATTTGAAAATGAGAGCAGGTGAGTTTCAGCTTGACTCTGCCTGTGCTGCCCAAGCCAGGCTACTACAGGCACTAATGAATTCTGGGTCTGAGGTGTCGCAAGCTGCTGGCTCAGTATGTATTGATTTGCTGCAAGAAGAGACACAGTACCTGGGCCAGCTGCATCACTCCATCCTGTGAGCAAAATTCACCATTTGGAAAAATGAGTCTTTAAGCTCTATGTAGACCTTGTTCTGACACTTTGCAAAGGATTAATTTTCAGTGTCTAATGATGTATCCACATCTCACAGGGAACAATCTCCTGTGCTGTGCCAATTGCACAGCCCTGTGTGTGGCTGCTGTCTCTCTGGGCTGGTGTGCATTGCAGAGCTGCTCTCTGCTGAAACACAGCTGTAAACAGAAAGCTGACAGGATGCTGGCCAAGCTGACCCTTAGGAAGCAAATTTTATTCTGCCTTATGTCAGCTAATCATGACTAAAACATGCTGGAACATAGCAGCTTGTTGGGAAGAATTCCAACCTGCCTTGATGTGGTTTACATGGAGAAGTCAGTCCTTATCAGCACTGCACCAGCTGAGCTGAGCTGCTACAGCAGGTCTGCATTCAGGTTCTGTGCTTCAGACAAGATGTGCCCTGCAAGGCTGCTGTACTTGCCAGCTCCACAGAAACTAGAGCCACACAGGTTTTCTGAGTGCACTGATACAGTTGGGCAAGCGCTCAAAATATTATCATGATAGGAAAATTTTTATAACACACAATCTGAGCAGTATAAGCAGGTACACCAACCAAAGAGAAGTGAAAAATCCCTCATTACACCAGTGGTGTAAGTTTGGCTCCTCTTTAATTGATTGGGAAATGGGAAAAGCTCCTGGTAGGTGAGCACCTAACTTCAAGCAAGATTAAAGCTGTTTGAGTAAGCACAGGGTATAATATGAGAAGAACAGAGAATAATTGTTATTTCATAAAATAGATTGTGAGATTATTTTTCTCAGAAAAATTGTTTATGGAAAGATTTTTAAGATAAACCTCAGCTTATCTGGAGCTAAGTTTATCAGAATTCTTAGAAAAATAAAAAGGAGTGGGGGGAAAGAAAGTGCTTGACTCATTAATGACAGGAACGCTTATGTAAAGACTCTCTAAATGGTGCCTCCAAAAATGAGCTCAGTGGTAAAAATAGGGTTTACATGCCTTTTTCTGCATAGTATGCACAAATAATGGCATAATAACTTCCATAATTCCTACAAAAGACTTTGCACTGCTCTGAGCTGCAGGTAAAGAACATCTTATTGCCCTGTGAAGCAGCTGGTTTTTGCATCCTGTCTGCCCACCCACATGCAAAAAGAGAGCAGGAAGCTGTGAGAAGATAATTTTTCTCTTTGAAACTGCTGGTAAGCAAGGCCAACCTTATTAGTTCATAATAAGACTTCTAATTTCATTATAAATTTCATAATACGTATGAAATTCTGTAAATATACCAAAGGCAGATGTAGCCATTCAACAAAGTACTTCCTGGAACCAATTCAATTGAACTTTATTTTCAGGGGGTTTCAGGTCTTCTTTAAATCAAATAAAATCAAAACTTAAGCTTATAAATTCTTTGTTAAAAAGTCAGGAAATTAAATTTGGCCTTGAAGTCTAGGCCTTCAGTAGGAGACTACTTAGACTGTCATAACCCATGGCATGGGATCTCCATGTATTCACCTGTTCAAGTAAATTGAGTTTCACAGAAAGATTGGTTTAAGAAATTCAAATGGAAATCCACCATAGTCATTGATTAGCTGTGTGATTATAGTTAGAAGCTGTCTCACTTCTATTCAAAATTTGTCTGGCTTTGACTTGCAGCTATTGAACCTGTTATAGCTCTGCCTGCTAGATCAAAGATATGTCTACGATGAAAATTCTGTTCCCTGTGGATTTTTTTTTCCTAACTGTGATCAAATCACCCCTTAAACCTTCTCTTTGATATGCTAAGTAGGCTGAGCTCCTGGTCTATCTTGGTATAAAGCATGTTTTCCAACCCTTTAATCATTCTGCTCTTTTTTGAACTTCCTCCATTTTTTTTCAACTTTCTATCTAAATTGAACTTTATATAGTATTCCAGTAGCAACTGCAGTAATGCTAAATACAGGGGTAATTATGTCTTCCTGGTCAATAATTTATTTATGTGAACAGGATATTATTTAGCTTTTTGGCTGCAGACTTTTAGCCTTAATTAGTCAGTCCTGGCTGCCCTGGAGTGCCTTAGGTGCCTCAGCCTCTATATTGTTCCCACTGCACTTCTCTATCCTGCCTTTCAGTTTCCCTGCAGCCTTACACATAAACTGCTGTGGCAATGTTTTCCAGAGCCTCTGTGGTACTATTTTTCCTGTGTCCTCATGTTGTTCTTCATGTCACTTTTATTCTCATGACATGACACTGGCAAACACACAATTGCCACAGCAGGTGCTCACAGGAAGCAATTGTCTCTGGTGTGAGATTCATCTCTTTTTCTCCTCCTTTCTTCTATTCTTTGCTTGTGGTTTTATATTAAGTGACCTAATAACATGCATGTACAAGCTTAAAAACCAGGCAGCCATGCAGCACCCACTCTGATCAAAGGGCACTCCAATTAGTGCTAATAGCACTGTGAGAAGGAGCAAGCTCTAGGGAATTTGAGGAGATGCTAATGAAAACCACAGAAATGCTGTGGAAAAGTGTTGTAATTACTGCTGCACTGGAAAGGATACTCAAGTGAGTAGATTCACCTGGAGACCCCACACTTCTCTTTGCAGCTGGTCACTGTAATCTCTTTTCTATCTCTCTCCCCTTTAGTTCTAAATTTACATCTACAGTCTCTATGCAAACCTGTCTCACAACAAGAATTGTAAGCATTGAATTCTAAGACTTTTCTGTCTCAGGGGAGATGTGAACAAAAAGAGCTATTCCAAGTAGCAAGACCATGTTCCTTGTTCCCTCTTCCATGCAGGCATTTAGAGCAGACGTATAAGAGAGAAAAGATTTCTGCTACTGTGTCTTAACAAAATGTATTGTCCTTTCCCTTCCTTCCTTCTAAGAACTGGGTCAGCCACAAACCAATTCAGTGAGAATTCTGCAGACAATACTTACTTTCATCTTCAATGTACCCCTTCCAGTCAAACGGAGTCACTGTTGAATTAAGCAATGTACCATTTTCACCTATGGTGCTGTTTAGCTGGGAAGTAATATTTGTTTCCAAAGTAAAATTTTCTGGAGGCCACTGCAGGCATTTATTCCTCAGGTTGCCCATGAACAGCTGCAGCCCTATCAGTGCAAATACACTGAGACAAAACACAGTCAGGATCATCACATCCGAGAGCTTCTTCACAGACTGAATCAGGGCTCCTACAATAGTCTTCAGGCCTGCAAATGGAAAGGAGTTTTTATTCTGATGTTGGAAACTTTTTCAAAGCACAAAAATTACAATGTCTCCCAGTAAAGTTACAGATTTCATGCAAAGCCCAAAAACATGATTGTAATGTCTGTGAAACAACATTTTTGTGAAGAGCTTTTTCACTTGTGAAAATGAATAAACAGCTGAAATTTATGTCCACTTGAAACTGTGAATGGAATGAGTTGCATATATTTCAAAACAACTTGTTTCAATGATAAAACAAGCAACTATTTTTTATTCATGCTGTACACTGATCTCACATAAACATCTTCCTTCTTTTTGTTTGTCAATACATCTTGCTCCAAACCTTTACTACTATCAGTTTTATAACATACTAGATTTAGAAGACAGTAGTAAAAAGCCTGTTCAACAATAAATAGGATTGAAATTTAATGCTATAAAACTGGAAATGGTTTGGAAAACTGTAGCATTTTAAGATAATAAATCCCCCATGCAACACCCATGCTATTCTTTATTATCTTATTCCTTCATCTTCTTAGTAAGTGAACATTTCAAACAGTTTTCTTTTTTAGACATAGATATTCACAAAAAATACCACATAACATCATGTAGGTAGGATACACATGGGTAAGAAAAGTTTAGGGTTACTAATACTCATTGAATGTGGAGAAGAAAGCTTGACGTCATACGATGCAAACCACACACACTGTGTACTGCAATGTCTCATGCAAGAATCTGTTAAACTCAAAGGCTGATTTCAAAAGGAAAGTGCTCATTTTCAAAAGCAATGAATCAGAGATCTCAATGAATCCTGATATCTTCTGATTCCTGCTTTTTTTTTTTGTGGAAAGAAATAAGAATTATATTTAAAAAAATATGAATTCTGGTTCATTGAATTAAAGTCAGCCTCAGTGTTTAACCTCGCTCTCACCTGGAATGACTGATATTGTTTTCAAAGCTCGGAGAACTCTGAATGTTCTCAACGCTGAGACATTGCCCAGGTCCACAAACTCTGTCACATATCTGTAATAGGGGAGTTCACACACAAACACAATGACAGGATAAAAAGGAACAGTTGGGAGGTAAAAGGGGCCTAACACCTTACACCAGTTACTTCTTACCTGGAATTACAGAAATAGTTTTCAAAGCTCTCAATACTCTGAAAGTTCGAAGAGCTGAAACATTGCCTAGGTTTACAAATTCTGTTACATACCTGTAGGATTAAATCACAGTTATTCAGAATTTAGGCAAAGTTTATGCTACTTGCTTGGGTCTTTCATCAAGACCGCTTTGGCGTTTTTAGCAAAAATTTAAACAGCAACAGTCAGAGGTTTACCTTTCACTGCAGTTTGCCTTGCATTAATATACTTTCAGAGCCTTCAGCTAAATTAAATGTCTCTGAAGTGAATCGCACTGATTTTACTTTGAAAGCCTAAAATTTATCTAGACTAGATTGGTAAGTTTGGAGAATGAAGTCAAAGGGAAGCTCCTTTTCTGCTCAGAAAAAAAAAAAAAGCAGGACATGAAATTAGCCTCTCTAATACTACCTGTACTAATGGCTTCTGCAGTATTTATGTTTACATCAAAATACGCATTTTTGAAAGTGAAAATTGTTTTAGACAAAAGTAAGTCCATAAAAGAATTTCCATTTAACAAAATTGGTATGTATTGATACTAATTTCATGCCCTTTTTGCCCTTCGCTTTCCAAGAAAAAGCAAAAAACAAGAACTTACGCAAAGGTAATGACAGTGAAATCAAGCCAGTTCCACGGATCTCGAAGAAAAGTAAAATCTTCTAAGCAAAAGCCCCTTGCAATGATTTTTATTAGTGACTCAAATGTGTAAATGCCAGTGAAAGTATACCTGAAAAATATAGGAAAATTTAATCAAAATAAGTAGCAATATTTTACATTGGTATTCTGACAGAAATGTTTTGATCAAATGAAACTTTTCTATTTCACAGCTGCAGAAGAAATACAGTAAATAAGCAAGGCTGCAAGCACACACTGAATTCTCATTCTCACTTCAGTAATACTTTTGCTGTATGCTGCTCTTAACTGACACGAACATTCAAGTGCCCATGGTTTTGCTACTAATGCAATGGTGTAAGGAAGGGTAAAAACAATGGGTAGGTGCTAAACCATGGAGAAAATGAGTGGAATCTCAGTAGAATACTATCTGTAAACTATTTTCATGGTTTTTCTACCCAATTGTTCTACTAAAATGAGATTCAAATCATCATTCAACATTTCTGCATAGTTCAGAGAGGAAACAGTCATAGCGCCTCATGATAGCTCCTCTTAGCACATCTTGCACTGCAGTTACTGGCATGGTAACTCCTAGAGGAACAGACAAAGATACATTGAAATAATGTGCAACTTACTCTACATTCTTTGTCCAGTCTGGAGGGTTACTCATGGTCATAAATACGCAGTTGGTCAAAATAGTGCACATGATAAGCATGCTGAATAATGTAGGTACAGTTAAGGAAAACACAGTAGCTATTCACACAATATCACATCAGTCATGGCTTAAGTACAGGAAAATACTGCCACTTAAGCAAAACTTTTAGACTTTGGAAAACACTGACATATGCTTTGCTTTACCTCATATTTTTTACTTTAGTACATTAGACTTTAATACTGGTCTGGATTTGTTGACACTCTGATGTTGCTTTGCTGGTGTCCTGATGTTTTGTTTTCAGCTGGTCCTGAAAGGAGATGGGTCTCACACCCTGGGAGGTAACATGCGTTGAGCAACTGCCAAACCAAAATAACTTGCAGGAGTATACAGTTTGCCTTCAGTACCTGGCATGACTGAAGAAGCGTTAGTCTTTCACTTTTACAGGCTTGGTACTAAAATTAAGAGTTGGCATATGCAAGGGAAAAAAAGTTTTCTCTATTTACCCAGAGTCAGAACTGAGCGAGTCAGTACCCAGCACAGCCAGTCTGTTGAAAACACAGAATAAAACAACGTTTTTAATTGCTGAAGTGAGTGCATTTCATGTTTCCCTAACACCAGCTTAATGCTTCAATCAGTGAAGCAGAAATCCATAGAGAGCTCAGAGATTAACGTGAATAGTTTTCCAGTATTATTTTTGGTCTCTCTCAAAACCCAGCAAAATCAGTGTATCTGTTTCTACTAATGTTATAATTTGAAAATGCTTCAATATTTACGTCAATTGCATGAAAAGCACAGAAAACTGGTGAAGATTAGAATGAAATTAATTTTTATTTGATGTTCCAGCAAGGAATATTTAGGTACTCTGGGACTATGAAACCCAGACCAACAGCTCAGAGGGGCTGATTCTAGGGAGATGGGACAATCCACTGGGGCTTCATGACATTCAATGCAATGTTCTTTGTCCACCAGATCACTGCCTCTTCAGACTGTGCAGTTCTTCCCTTTTTGTGGCAATAACTTCAATGCAAACTTTTGGAAATACTGAAGTAACCACACTGGATGAAAACCTGACTCAAAATGGCCACATGATGGCAGCAAACAATAAGCGCTGCTACACATTTATACCAAATGGTTAACTTATTTTTCCTCTAGTCATCTCTCTAAATTATGTATTCCTTAGAAGTCCTTGCATCACCACAACTGGCAAAGAAAATGGTTTAAACTAAAGAAAGCTGTTTACATCTAAACTTGTATCTGAGAGTCCAGGATTTAATTTTTTTTTAAATCAAGTAGATAGCATTTGGTGGTTTCGGGTATATTTTTATACCATTGACGAAAAATGAAACAAGAAAAGTAGTATCACGATCTAAACTTCTCAGAAAATTGCTACAATTATTAAGATTTTTGCTTAGAGCAGCTGAAAAATTCGATCTTTAGCATAACTTTTCAATAAACACTCAAATCACAGGGAAGGAATTAGCTGCCTGATTCCCACAGACAGGCGTGTGCCCTTTCCCTAAATGGCTGATCCAGCAGCGGACATTTTGGTATATTTCAGTAAGTGACTTAACTAGTTTTGAAGATCATGTTGCCATACAAACTCTGTAGAGTAAAAATCGTTCAGTGCCTTAGAATAAATTATTAGAATGCCTTACAGTGTTTGTCACCACAATCCACAGACAGGTCTAAAGAGCCTGCTTTAATTTAATTAGGAAATTCCTTTAAATATAGAGAATCCATTTTGAATCCAAGTCGGAGATGCGTGGCTGCAATTTCAGTCGTCTCATGAAAGAGTTAGAGAAGTGCAATGTGCTCTTAGGAGAGCTGGGGTTTTACCCTGTGCAGTGTGTTGTGAGCTTTCAGCTCAGTACCAGGTACCATTCATATCAAGGGCCACAGGTAGGTCCTTGCACATAGCTCACTCTTTACAAAACCTGGCACATCTGGGAGCCAAAAGTTGCCAAAGTGCTGTTCACTCTGAAAGGGAACAGATGCTCATTAAGGGCTAAAATACTTAGAAATATAGACTGCCATTTCTCTTAACTGGCACATTCAATGTCTGTGCATCTCTTCTGTCCTATCACACATTTTGAGTGATTGATTTACAAGCTCAATATTCCCTTAATTTACTATTTTATGATCTATAACAATTCAACTATACACATAGACAAAAAAAATATCTGATCTATGATGACTTCTTCATGGAAATGTACTGCCTTTTTCATGCTCTTCCCATACAGTCATGCAGAGGCACCACACAGCCTCAAGCTAATCAATTAAAGGAGCAGCTGAAGTCTCTTATCACCTGTGTGGATTGGTGGAAGATGAAACAATTGGGAAAAAAAACAAATATTGCCAAGTGGTTTAACAGATACCGTCTGGCAGTCAGGCCACACTGAGGAATACTGTAATTTAAGCTTCCAGAGCCTTGCACAGGAGCACTTGCACATTTTCTCTAGACCACCTCCCCAATTCTTTCTAACAGAAATCTCTAACACTGCAGCTCCAGCCACTGCCACCTCCCTTTTTTTGACTGCTCAACACTCTACTTATTCTCACCTTTTCATTCTTTCCTATAAATTGCTAAACCCTGGCTATCTCCCATCACTCTTGTGCTGCCTCCTCAGTTCTATGTTCTACCTTAAGTCTAGTCAGGCAGGCAAAAGAGAAGAGGGAAAAAAATAAAAAAAGCAGACTACCAGGAGATGAGTCAGCAGAGAGAAACTCATGCTGTTACCAGTTTCTGCATTCAGTATTACAGTGGTCCTGGCAGTGAGAATAATTGCAGGGAAAGTCTGGGAGCACTGGAAAGAGACACACTCTGTTTCTCTGCAGGGCAGCAATATCTGCTCACGTGTCTGGGCACATGTGATCAGAGCACCCTGTACAGAGGTTCAGAGAATCTGGAGGACAGCCAGATTAAGGTTTTCTAACCAATGTGCTAGTTTCATTGTGCTCAACACTTGACTTTAATCACACTGAAGGCACATTTCTGTGACAAAGGCCAAAATGCCAAACACCTGCCACAAAATAGGGAGGAAATAGAGTTTGTCTATAAAAATCAGTCGATTATTAAAAATAATAATCAATTTTACCCCTCATCTTTTTAATGTAGGTAGCTAATCTTGTATAAGCAGCTGAGATTTGAATTGTAAAACAGAACATATTTTATGGTTCTTAGTTAGAACACTTCAATATTTGAAGTGTTTGTACTATAATGAATAATACTAAAACATTAGAAAATTGCAGAACCTGCACATCTTATGTTTTAGATTAAATAAAACCAATCCTATGCCTATATCTAAGACAAAATAGCCCCTGCAATAGTTAGCTGGCTGTAAGAAGAAATCAGTCCATATACTGAAAGAAAATTTCTTCCTATGATAGAGTTAAGTTGCACAATCAGTTCATAGGTGGAAGGAAAAATACTGAAATTACATATTATCTGTTGGAATTTCTTTTGTTCTTACTGTCATCAAGACCAGCTGGATACTCTTTGAAGACAATTAGCAGAAACTTAAAACCAAGACCAAACTCAGCAGCCAATATGCCAGTGAAAATCATTATCCACAGCTGAGGCAGATGCAATGTTGGAAGGTATTGCAAACCAGTGTCATGTGAAGGAATGAGCTGCCATTGGAGGCTGCAATCTGACAGAACTTGGCTGTGTTTTCTCACCATCACCACCACTGTGTCTGTAGGTCTCTGTCTCCCCTTAGCTACTGTTCCCAAATGCTCCCTAACTCCTCTCCAGCCTGACACCTTCCTTTTCTCCCACACTGTTTTAACTTCCCAGGAGCTCAGAGTAAAAGATGTTCTGAGCCAGCAACCATCAGCCTTGTTTCTTACTTTTTCCAAAGACCTAGAAAATTCTGCCAGCAGTCTCTATTAAAAAGGCTTCTGCCTTTCACTACTTGTTCAATGTTAAAAGTCTTACTGTCACACTGAAATTTTCATTTGGTAACTACATTTCTCAGTCCTGAGGTTCTGCAAAAAACCCCAACTGCACCAAAACCTCACCCACTAGAAATTCCCATCAACCTGTTAGGACCATCAGGCAGCAATCCCCCTTGTCAGTCTAGAACTTTACCATGTGCACCACCCCATCAGTGATGGTCCCCCAGTCTGTCCACCATCTGCATGTGCAGATGCTTTGCAAGCTGCCTGCAGGAATGCTGCCTATGCTTTCTGGCAATGTGTTACATTTGGCAGAGGCTTATGGTGCAACTGGGAGGGTTTGGGAATGTGAGAACCAGCCTGCACCAGCCAGGCTTCAGGCACACTGCTGCAGCAGGCTAGAAAGCTGATCTTGAGGATAGCCCCACAAGGATCCTGAACCTTTACTTATGATGAAATCATTATCTGTTTTCTTCATTTCATTTTGAACAACCACTAAAAAAGGATATGAATGTACCAAAATTTTAATAGCTATTTTTCTAAGAGGGTTGAAGGGTGTTAAAATGTACAGGGCAGAGGTGGCACTGAATCGGAAGATTGCCTTCCCTTTATTCAATACTATAAAGGTCTGAAAAAGAGAAAGAAAAGACATTTTATCAGAGTTTATTCACTGTAGATTCTCATTTACAAATGGTTACAAGTAAGCAATCACCAAAATTGTAAATTTTTGAACAGTTAATACAAAAATCACAAATAATTTTTCAAATAAAGATTATTTCCAGTACTTACCTGATGAATCTAACATATGACAATGCAATAAATTCAATTCATTAATGTTTTTGTTTTACATCTTCATTAAGCAAACTCAATAAAGTAATATTCCTTTACATGTGTTTCTTGTAAATAAAGATGTATAAATTATTAACTGACATTTTAATTTTATTTATGTTTTCCCCCAGGAAACTCTCTCTGTTTGAAATAGCACAAGCAGGGTGTGGTGGTGCATTCCCTCCCACTCTTTTCCACACTACTTGTGGACTTTATTGATATATTAGTCTTACTAACTGGAAATCCTTCTGGAAACTGATTTATTAGACTATCCACTTGTGTAATTTTTGGGATTTTGTGCTAAGGAGAGAGGGAAATAGCAGTAACGTACACAGCCATATTTAGGTAGGTCTCTGAGTGCTGGAAATCTGAATATACCTCACTGGAGGAGAGCAAAAGACAATCCCAAATTATCCTCCTGCACAACTGTGGTTTCTAGATGTGAAAATTTCCCAGAAAGCACATTCTTTCAAAATTTAACTTTTAATATCTATGGAGCTAATCAAATTTAGAGAAACTTGCAGGCATTCAAGCCTTACTTCAGAGGATTGTAGAAGACCTTGTAGGTTAAATGGCTCAACTAAATCCATGAGCCAAAGACAAACAGTATGAGAGCAAACCCTGCAAACACTGCTTTGCTCCACTGCAGGATATCATGGCTGCACCTGCCCTCGCACTACAGCACACAAAATGTGGGATGTCGGGTTCTTTTGTGTCACTAAGGTGCTCTTCAACTGCAAGATCAATCAGAAAAGAATGAAAAACAGCACAGAAGGAAAAAAAGGCTCAGTAACTCAGAAAAAATCTGCATGTGAAAGGGACGATGCAAGAATAATAACCTAAATTCAAGTGAAATTAAAGGAAAATTTCCTAAATTTCTTTTCTCATTTTTTGTTTTTCCCATTGTCAGAGTTGTATATTTTGTGCATAAGCGATGAGAAAGCCTCCCTGATTTTTGTAAAAAAGATCCCTGATATTTGCTGATGAGATGAGCTGTAAGCCAGAATTCCAGTGGAATCGTGGGTGAGGGTATGTTGGTTTCATCTGGTGTCCATGACACCGAGTATTGCCTCAAGACTGTAAGCAGTGAACTACATGCCTATTTCCAGGAAGGCTGGCAGACAGGGAAAATGTGCCAAGGAGGTTCAAGGAGGACAATGCTTCAGTCTGGCGTGATTTGCAAAGTTTAGAATGTATGGACTGTGAGGTACAGGTACCAATGCCTAGAAGGATGCAGAACGTGGAGAGAGATGTGGAGGTGGGGCTTTACCTAAGGCAGAGGAGAAGCAAGGATTAAACTGTGAGCAAAAGCTGCTTCAGTCCCAGTGGCTTCTTCCCTGAGCTGTCCCTCCGTCACAGCTCTACACAGAACACCTCCTTCAAACCAAACCCCCTAGGAGTAAGGGACACTACCAGGCAGACTTTACTCTGTCTTGAGTACAAACTCAACATGTGTAGGAGTGTATAATATATGTATATGATTTCCCAATTCTGCACAGGAATGGAGAAACTGCATGTGAAGCTGAGGACAGCCTCAGCTAATGTTTCAAATTACACATCCAGTTTGGGCTTACAGGTAACAGCCTGCAGATGACCTGACCTTACATGAAGCCTTCATTTCAACTTCTGAACCAGCCAACCAGAAGAAAGACTTTCTGGCACAATGTTTTAAAGCCTCACACCCTAAGGGGGAAGGTGAATTTCCTCTGCCAGGTCTGTCCCCAGCCCCAGGACTCACACCTCAGACGCCTCCAATTCATGCTCTTTTTTGTAGTTATGAGGTAGTTGACGAAATGCATTAAAAATCACACTTCCTACTAACTCTGTATTTAAGACTACTGCACCTTCATTTAGTCAACCTACATTTTTTAAAAAATCTTTGAACACAAGCATATTAAACATACATCTATTTTCTTACATGCCTTATGGAAAATAACAGCATGCTGGCACAGTTCCAGTTTCAGTTGGAAGCTGCTGCTATTTTAGCTGTTCTACTTTCTGCTGCCCTGCATAAGCAGAATGAACAAGACATAAATTCCCTACCTCAGTTTTAATTTTTCACTCAAAGCATCTTTGTGACTTGAGCTTTCAGAATGACTTTGTTGGTCCTGTAACATCTAGCCTTAAATATGAATTAAAACTGCACCTTATTTCTGAAGGAAAATTTTAATTAAAAAGTACAGATAAGAGCTGATATGCCCTGCGTAAGTTCCCTGCTATGCCTGCTAAATCTCACTCCACTCTCAACCCAGATGCAAGCCAATGTGTAGGCAGTGTGGATGAACATGAAGAATTGTACCCAAAACTGTCAGCACAAAGTAGACATACACTAAGAAAAGCTAGATAAATTCTAAATAAATTTTTATATGAAGGATTATGTATAGACTTCAGGCCTTATGTTTTATTCATTTTTATAAAGGCACAAAACCGACTCACACTCAAAGTGTTTGATTGCAAATATAAATTCAGAGTTCCCTGAAAGGAAGTCCCTCATTTGCTGCTTTTGTATCTGTAACCTAAAACCTAATCCATCTTCTGCCACATTGAAATAAAGCCAAAAGCTGAATTCTTAGCAGGGAAAAGGAGGAGGAGTGTTTTGAGAAGATGTAGCTAAGAGAGAAGAGTCAACACTGAATAAAGATAAGGTCTCTGAGAACCTCTTGGGATAAGGAGTTCCCAAAACCTTATTTCTCCTCTCCTTCCTCCTAGTTAGATTTAAATGTAGTTTCTGGAAGGCTAGATTTAGTGCACTTTGTGCTACCCCACTGCATTTCCACCTTCTGAAAGACAGGAGCAGGATACAACATTGAGCTGGGTCCTCAGCTTCTCTGGAAAAGCTCCTGCAGCAGCTGGAACAGGACACTCATGGCATATGAGAAGTTTCAATTTCTTGGGCTTGTGGTTATCTTTTGAAACAATGTTTTCTAGCAAGCCCTTTTTTGCTTTGCTAGAGCTTTTAACTTAAAAATTATTTCACAACTATGAAAATATCCAAAATCACTACTGTATGCACCTTTGCTGGTGTAACAAATCAAAGCAATTTTACAGAATCTTTTTGGTTTTTTTTGCAACCCAAGACACATCTGGGAAACCCAGGAGTTAGTGATTTGATCAGATTAGGGACTGATATGGAATGCCAGGAGACAAGGAGGCATCTTTGCTGACAGACATCATTCAGATGGCAAGAGGCAGGGCATGGAGTGGCAATAAACAATGTTATGTCTCTATCACAGCAGGAGGAAAGTGAAGTTTTACCCACTTAGTTCCATTTTTTCTGTCCCTCCTCTTTAATGTAGCAGCCTGGGTTCAGAGGAAAAGAGCCAGCCCTAAAGTATGAAACCAAGTGGACCAGATTTTGATTCATGCCCGCAGGTCAGGATCTTAGGGGATTCCAGCTGCTCTGTTCTCTACAGACAATGAAGTGAACATCACTGATCTTTTGTGATGGCAGCCTGAGCATGAGCAGGCAGGCACTATTATACAGGGAACACACAGGTTTGCACTTATACAGAAGCAGAACACAAAACATGAGTGAACTTCCTGCTCACTTTTAATCAATTTTGGATTAAAAAAAAAAAAAAAAAAAAGAAAAGAAAAGAAAAGAAAAAAGACTGTTGCAACCCTTTAGGATGCTAAATCTCATGGTTCTAAAAACCAGCATTATTGGCCACCACAGTCAGCAGCATTTCAGTATAATGAAATTGTAATATGAATCGTATAGGACAACATTATTCTATTCCTTTACCACAAAATAATTATGTTTCAAGGGTACAATTGCTGGCTTTCAAGCTATTTGTGATACAGTGTAAATCAAAAATACTATTAAGTGTGTAAACCTGCTGTAATGGGCTGTCCTACTGTCAAACAGCAGTTGTCAATATTTTCCTTTTCCTTTCAACTTCAGATTAGTATTGATATACTAATATGTATGTATGTGTACACATGGATATGTATGGATATATATGTATACATATGGATATGTCCTCTTTCATGGTAGGTTTTACATAGAAACACACTTACAAAACCATAAAACTATTATACCTATTTGGGTTTTCTTCTCTTAAAATACGTTTTATTTTAACTTTTCATCTCAAGCCTACTTCAGGCACAAATTAAGGTTCTCAAACCAGCTCAAAATATGTATTTATTTCTGTCTTATTCTCTATTAAACTGCATCAAATAATGGCATGCACAAACCTTTTGCTTAGAAAAAGTAGTCCCAAGGATAGAACATAAAACACTCTAGATGACATTTAAACATTGACTGCATGAAAAATACAGTGAGTTTGATCAATCTTGGTGTAAAGAATGGGGGGGGGGGAACCCAAGAGAGATGCAATATTTGCATATAAGGAAAATGATGTATGACTTAATTCATGACCCAAGCTTGTAATAAAAAAAATATTCCTAAAATTCCTATACAGATTTTCCAAATAAACACCAGTTCTGTGAGCAACCACTTGTGTTCCTTATTTGAAAGTTTGAAAGCCAAATTGTTTGGTGGTTTCTGTCAACAAATCAGCTACAGTTTATGCAGAGATCTTAACAGAGCTCTGAAAAAAACAGTGGCATCTGGTAATCCTCTACACTTGCCCTAACCCTTTTTGCAAATAAGCATTTTCCTTTATTCTGGTGCTTTTCATTAGATCCATGACATTTCAGGCAGATGCCTCACCAGGGAGAAGCACAACACCTCTAATGATTGTGCAGCAGTTTGGGGAGGGTGTGCTGATGGACTTCTTGGCTTTACAAGATGAAATTCAGAGAGGGGTAAAGAAGAAGCTGAAATGTTAAACATTACAGAGATAAATACATTGAGCATTCCTGTGTGTCTTCCTAGAGATGTTTACTCTTGCTACAAGCTTTTCTCAAATTATTTCTGCTTCTGAGACTTGCAGTAGCATCAACTGCTGCCAATATTTTCAAGATAAAAGTGAAACAAGATGTAGGTACTTCCAGAATTCACATACAGCTAGATAATAAATTTAGAAATTAGATATTTTAAAGGAGAGTTATAGGTGAAAAATTGAAATAGGTGTTGATTTTCTGTTAGGAACATCTATTTTCTTCCTACTGAGGGAAGAAAAAGCAGAGAGAATTGAAGCATTTGAGAAATTTTTGCCTTGTCTTAGACTGACAGGGCTGTTTTTTTTCCGTCCTGTAGAAGATTAAAGCACGTACATAGAGAGAATATGTGGACTTCAGCAGAAAGAGGAGAATCCCAGAGGGGATGTGTTTAAACCATACATATTTAGTGTGCAAATAAAAAGATTCTTCTTTTCAAATAGCACAGAAATTTGACTGAATATGTTCAGATGTTTTCTCTCCATTTCTTGCAATTCTATCACCAGACCTGGCTGATTTAGTAAGTTTTTGTGAGAAGGGACTAAAGAGACTGAAAGGGTCTTCCACTCCCAAGGACTTGAGAGGCATATCTATCATAGGTCATATGTATCATGTATCTGTTTTCACTGCCAGAAACATAAGACACACTGATTTGGCTATAAAGGTCCAGGATGAGCTGTGGGCAGGTAGGGATAAAATTATATGGAATACTGTATCATAAACAGACACAATTAGTACAGAACTCTACAAGGCCTGCTTTTATAGAAACACATCTTTTATCTTTGCAAAAGTAGAACTGTGATTTAAAGATAAATCTTCATATGCTGTGAATGGCAGATAAAGGCTCTTTCAGAGGCACCAGATAATAGAGATAAAAAAAATTTGTTCTTTCACACAGTATTTTCTCTCTTGTCAAAATAGGACTCATAAATCACAAGAAATTTAGCAAGCTGAGACACTTAGAACACAGTAGGTTGTGAAAGTCAAAACAACTCTTATCTTAATATTGACATTTTTACAATCAGAATGCATTGAAGTATCACCCAATCTAGCTACAGCTATAGAGCATGAACTTTTTCTGCCACTTATAGGCTGTGCAACAGGATCATTCTGAAAGGATTCCAGGCCTGCCCAAAGCCAGTTTCACTAAAACTTTAAATCAGTTTCTATACTCTTTTGTTACATTCACTGTTTATCTATTTGTTTCCCTACTGATTCCATAAATTTTCTAAGCATTTGCTGTCAAAGCAAATTGCTGTGAACAAAACGTTCTATGGATCAGTTCATGCTGTCAGTTTTAAATCTGAAGAACCTTAGAGAATTTTGGTGTCCTCAGTATGAATGTATGTTCATTTTTAAGAAGTTTATAGAGTATATATGTATCACATATCCACGTTTGTATAGGTATTACATATTGCTTGTAATCAAAGATCACATATTATGCTTCAGCTTTGATATAAGTGTGTCTTTGATATAAAGTCAGTTATATCAAGAAAATAAATGTGGAGATAAATTAAAAGAAACGTGTAAGGCAAATGGCTGGAAATTAACATACTCAAGTAACAAGCTCTATGATCCACTCCAAGAAAACAAAATGAGCTTGATAATGCACTGTAAACACTGGCACATGAACAGGATTGATATTAGACTCACTTTTTTATTGATGTAATATGGGTCCATGTCTTCCAAGGGCTCAGACACCATTCCTGGAGGTATGTCACCATATATAAAGGGGAGTGTCTTTCCTGCCTCCAAGTCACTGTTTGGTTTTGGCCCATTTTCATCATCGTCTTTGCGATCTTGTTTAGGGTTCTTGGCTTTTTCTGCAGCAATGCGCTGTTCAATAGCTGCAAGAGACTCTCTAGTGAAGTATTGGAAGCTGTCTGGTCCTGGTGGTACAAGCACTGACTGCTCCATCTTTTCATCCTGCACATTTTAATTACCATTTATTCTTCTGCATAGGAAAATACTACAAGAAAGCAGAAAATAAAATTCAAGTAAACATGTTGAAATCACCAAGTAAGAAAGATGTAGTAGTTATTTTCAAGTGAAATTGTTTTTGCTATGCTGAATAGTTAAAATACACAATTTGAAAATTATGTAAAGAAAGAAAAAGTAACAAGTTTAGTCAGTGATTTGGCAATTGTAAGAAGCACTTGTGTTGTTCTTACACTAGTTACTAAAACTGTAAAAATTTCTCAGATTCAGGATATGCTAGTCATTTCCTCCAAATAAGGAAAAGTATGATAGTCAAGAATAATCAAATATATTCTTTCCTCATAACTCTAGTTATATTAGGATCACACTCCTCTGGAATCAATCAGGATTACATTGGTAACTATAAATAGAACAGTTCAATGGAGCTAAAACAGAAAATTTCACTGAGATCAGCAAAAGTGTCAGAAAACAAGCACTGTAAAACCAGAACTTCCATTTTAAAAAAATCAAGTCTGTATAATATGAAGTATTAGTGATTCCAAATAAGTATTTGTATAGGAAATTATTTTAGATAAGAAGAAGAGTAATTGCCCAGTATTATTTCAGTTTAGCTGTTACTGTGTCTGGTTCTTTATAAAACAACTGTAACTGGAAAATTCTGGAAGTATTTTAATATACATATTCATTTATACATTGCAATTGCAAAAATAAACCTGTTGGGAAGAAAAACAAAAAAAAGAAGAAAAAAGAAGTGGTGTTAAGACTACAGATTTGGCATCTTCCATGCTGCTGAATAAATTTCTGATGACACCAGACATACAGATGAAATGCATATTTGGGCCCACAGTGGTGCATATATCCCTCATGCCTGAATGCAAAGAGATAAATGCAGTCTCCACCCATTGCAGAGTTCCTTATGAAATGATCAGTCAGTCTATCAAGAGACTCAAGGGCCAAGGCAGGTCAGCAGTCACTGAAATAAGCCAGGGATATGGAATGAAAGAGAAGTAGGAATACTGCAGTAGGTAGAGGGTTGAGGGAAAACACATGAAAACAAATTAAAAAGTGACAAAAAACCCTGGGAACTGAAGAAAGATGCTGGAAATTTGGAAGGAAATAGACACCAAAAGTGGCTCAAGAGGAGATTGTAAATGACTTAAGAATTAAGGGAGAAAAGGAAGAATGCAAAAAGATTTAAAAAAATAGGAACTATGGAAGATTAGCAATATAAAAATGACATTAAAAAAGAAAAATAAAACGTGGGTGGAAGAACAGATTACTGGCAAAGGAGCAGAAAGGTAAGCAAATACAGACAGGGCTAACTTTCTACTAAGTAAAAGTCAATATGGAAAATAAGCAACTAGATGACAAATAAAGGGAGAAGAAAGAAAAAATAAAGCTGGGAAATAAAGAAGAAGGTCACCAGATTACATCTAGTAGTAAAACTAAATTCTCTTGATCAGTAATGCCAGGGTGAGCACAACATCTTAATCACATATTTGTAGTGAGTACTAGAATATAATGAATAAAACAAGAAAGAGGGGTGAAGTGCTTATGGTCTTCACAAACCTAAATGTTCTGATTTTTAAAAAATGTTAACGCACCCCTCCCCCCCCCCCCCCATATTTCACACAGGTACATAAGATCATCACCCACAATTGCAGGAATGACTTTCAAACAATCAAGATGCAAGTTTCTCACTGTAAAAAAAATTAAAGTGAGCTGATCTCACACCAAACACTAAGTATTTACCCATGTAAACACTCATGCCAAACCAGTTCTGTACTGCTTCCCTTCTTTCCAAGGGAAAAGGAATTATACTGTTCTGTTCCCATTTGTGGGAGTGGGGAGGATATAAGAAAATGTACCTCAGCTAAAAGAGATTTAAAATCCTGCCTTTCTCCACATAGAGAGTATCCCCTAGACAGTCCTCAGCTCCCTATGTCATGGTTCTGTTTACTTCTGCGAACTGCCACTTCAGTCACTTAACTACTGAAGTTACAAACTCACTATTTGTACGCTTTGACACTGTTTCTTAATGTTCAACCACACCTTGTGGGTACTGGGAAAGGAGAAAAACTATCAGGCACATCACTGAATTTTCTGATCTCAAACTGATCCCCATGAGGGACACCACAGTTTGGAAGACAGATCTTGTACTAAGCTGTTATCCACATGTTATGGGGGACACAGCTGTAGGTGGATACCACTTGCTCTGTGGGCTTCAGGTAGATACAGACTCAAGAGGGACAATCGAGCCCTCTTCTCTGCTCAGTTTATTTGGCAAAAGAAGGGACCACTCCCTCTCCTCTCCACATAGGCATGTCTGCCTTTCCCTCTCCTCCTCCTGCTCGTGAGACCCAGGAGGGCCCTTTCCCCTTTGCCTTTTCGCTGTGAATCCTCCATTCACGGTCCCAAGCAGCAGCACCCGGTGCTCCCGGCCGAAGGGGCCAGGCGCAGCGGGAGGAGGCGCCGGGCAGCAGCAAGGGCGATCCCGTGGGCTGCAAGGAAATGGGCAGCCAGGAGCAGTCAGCAAAGAGGAGACCTGAAACCACAGGGTGCTGTGTCAGGATCACCTTTTAGCTCACTGAACGTCCCCACCTGGAATGCAGGACAAGGATTACCTCAGGATTTGCCCGCAGGTGCACAGAAACAAATAGCTACACAGCCATTAGTTATGTTGCAAAAACACTTGATTCAGCTACTGTGTTTATATACCAAGCTTAAAATCAGCAAATGCTGTGGGCTTTTCTAATAATATGTGTATTTCTTTATATAGAAAGGAGCTCCATGTTATTTTTCTATAATTAATCCTAGAATGTTCTCTGGTCTGTCAAATGTACATGGAGCTAGCTAGCTACACCTTTAGATGTAACTAAATCTAAGTAGACTGTACTTAACAACATCTTTCAGGAGGCTTTATGAAGATTATCTACTTTTTATCCTCTACTTAACAGATTAGAGGATGATATCCCAGATACGTTTTCCCCTTCTTCATACATTTCAATGATTATAAGTTTTCAGAATTGCAAATAGAAATCTTCTATAAATTTAAAAGTCAATACTAAATACATACAGAATTTACTACAGTCTTAATCCCAAATCACTTTCATTGCTCATATGGCAGTGCTTAACTCCTAGGTTTGTATTTCCTTTACTAGAGTGAATTGATTTATTCTCACTTATATGCGATGGGGATAGATAAAAATTGATACCAGATCGATTAATCTACTGCTATCCTTCTGATTTCTACCAAGTGATTTATTAAATATTGATTGAATAAGTACAGATTGTTTACATGATCCAAATGGGCTTCTTTTCTTTAGCATAGCATTAGTAATCAAACATAGGAAAGAATATAAGAATACCCAAAATATTAATTTCTTACTAAGTTCTTTCCTAATCTCCTATAAGGAATGTGGGGCTTTTCCTTCTACATTTCCATGTCTGTTTGAGTGACCTTCAAATGAGCAATGGGAAACATTTTAAATTTTGGAAAATAAGGTGCTCAGAACATTTGAGAATAGAATCACTGTTTCTTCTGACATTTCCCAGGCAAAATATATTCACATACACTTCGTAGTATACACTGTTGTAAACCAGATAACTTCAGAGCACACTCAGTGTGCAGGGATGGGACGATGTGCAGACCACGAGCAGAATAAGACAGAAGCTGTTCAGCTGCATGTGTGTAAGTGCACAAAGCACAGCTGATCTGCCCACGTGTACCAAGAGTGAGGCAGCCAGAACTAGCCTGGGTTAGCTGTGCACACACAGACCAGCTGGGTGGTACACACACCATCACTGCCCTGCTGGATGTGAGCTATTGCACACAGAGTCATTTTGAGCTATGCATTCTTTGAGAATAGCTAAGCCATCAAACACCCATAGAACATATGTGTATTTTTATATTCTTCAAATTTCATCTAAATAATTTTTCTAGGCAAAGTAAAGGGACATATTGGAAATAGATGAAGAGATGGTGCCTTGTCAAACAATGATTTCAAATCAGTTACACACTGCTTCTTGAAAAAGTCAATTAAAGAATACATAACTCTCAGAAATAGAGACAAGCTTGAACAAGATTATTTCCTAATCTTATACTGTCAGTTTGCATATCCTTCATACCTTCATAACAAGTGTTTCTGGACCACTTGTTCAGGAGGACCTTAGTCTACATATAGAACTACAGTGCTGCAAATACTTAAACTTCAGCAAGTGAATTTCTTTATATTATCCACACAATTAAATCTGAAACTGAAATATGTTTTGATGTTTGATCTTCTGGTATAGCAGTCATGAATTAAAATGTAACTGCTGCAAAAAAAAGATAAACGAATGAATCTACATGTAAACTCACAGAGCCCAGATCTCCATCTTATAATAATTTGCATCATTTTTTGGCAAAGATTCTCATCACTTTTGATTTATCAATGAGTCATTAGGATTCTGGTCTTCAGCATACCGAATAAATATAATTTACCTTCCTCACAGTGTGGATCTGTGGGAGGAGAGAAGCAAAGTTTTGGGAAGCCACTACAGTTTTGTATGTGCAGCCTCAGAACCAAGCCTGTGTCTTTCCTGTCTGTCTCAATTATAGAGTTACTGCAGGCAGCAAAGGTAGGTAGGATATCCAAAGCAACAAGCTTGGCAGAAGGGCAGGAATTAGATTGGAATATTGGAAATATACAAGTTTTTATGACTCCCTGTAAGCTCACATATAAAATTAAATTTAATTCCCATGGACAGCTTTAAAAGGGAAACTTGCATATTACCAGACTGATAATAGGATTCTCCCATATCTTTTTTTACCATCTTCTTGATGTTCCCTCTCAGCATGGATAATGCAGATCTGGCACAAGGGCTTGCTTGCATTACATTATTTAGACTTCGATAACTGCATTTATTTAATGCATATTAATTTTAAATAAATGGTAGGTGCAGTAATACTGCAGACGTCAGAATAGGGTACATAGATA